TTTAATGCCTTTTCTGAGGGAGAAAACGCACTAAGAATGTGAGCATGTTGAAGCCATACATTTAAGTTTTGTCCGTTTTATAATACAATATTGCACCAGTTCTAGTACTTGCCCTTTGAAAGAAGCCAATTATAGAAAACCGGAACAAAAAACCAAGCGACAATAGTCCTTGTAAAAAACAAACAAACGATAACACTCTGGAAAAAGGGTTGTTTTTTGGCGCGTTTTGACGAGACAATGCCATTATTAAATATTCATGTCTCATGTGCAAGGCGGGCAAAGGGACAAACTTCCAGTGGAATTATGTATAGTTATAGTAGTACACGTATTCGTGAATTTGGTCGCCCGAACGCTAGCCAAACGTTCGACATTCGTGAAGCGTTAGGGAGGTTCGATCACAGTTGTCTGGTTTTTTCTTCGTATTACGTTAGTCGGCTGTTGCTCGGGAACAGATTCGGGGAAGGTCGTGAATGGATGACAGTAGGTTTACATTGCAGGCCATCGCGAGCAGAACCAACTTCTACAGGCTCTCGTTCTTCCCCCGTACCATCAGGGAATGGAACGAACTTGAGCCTGGTGCGGTGGAGGCGGGGTCTCTCGCCCAGTTCAAATCTGAACTGGCGAGGACCCTGCTGCATTGAGTCACCCCATCATGTCTTGTATATATGTAAATATTACTAACGCACTAATGCACTTGTCCTGTCTTTAGCACACACAAAATCAGTTGTCTTATGTTCCTTTCTCAGTTATCCTTGTTTTCCCTTTGTTTTTTATGTACCGGGCACAATTGTTACTAACAATATTGCGTAACGACTGCCAATAATACTACTCTGTAGTGCTGGGCAGTAACGAAGAAGAAGACATACTCTTGTCATGGAACGTCCTATTATTGCTATGGAGAGGGGAGGCGGCATAGTTGTCTTGCTGGCTACTCCAGATTGACGATTGATATCTTGTGTGGTCTGCTTGTCACAAGGAAGTCTCAAAACTTATTAAACGTATGTTGCACGTATGAAATACTGGGTATAGGTAAAAGCGGTCTTTCCCCGCACTGTAAAGCTACTATTTTTCCTACCGTATCTCGGTGTCCCGGTGTCATGTTCCCTTGGGTCTTTTTCGTGACGTGTGACGTGGGGGTGAAATACGTAGCATTTATAAACAGAATGGTTGCGCCCGAAATGTTATACTAGTACTGTTATCTTCTGCTTCAAATTGGTTTCAAGATAACGTAGTGATCGCATTGTTACCCATGAACTAAGAAACGACAACGCACAACGATTAAGATTATTCAAATTGGATTTCATTGCAATGATCTCGCGCCGCCGATTTACATTATTTTGCGTGTAGCGATTTTTAAAGAAATCGCCATTTTAGGTGACAAATTAGAGCAGATTGGCGACTGTTCTCGGCGATTTTCACAAGCTGTCGCCAAGAGTCGCGGTTCAGAGAGACACAGATACATAAATATAATGTAGTTTAAATCTCATGGTCAACAGACAATAAAGAAGCTTGCAATACATTGTTTTACAGTATGTTTATAATGAAACTCTATTTTGATTCACAGATTTACGACTTCGTCCAGTACATGGCGCTAGCCGGCTTCCTGCCAGAAGGGGCCGTGCCAACGACCACCGCCCAGCAAATGGCGTTGGTTGAAGCCGAAGAGGACGAGGACCCAGGGCCGAGAGAGGGTAAGACAGAGGTATCCGGGGCAGGACAACACATCCAACTCACCAAAGAACAAACAATACAGCTAGAAGACTTCCACATCAAGCACACTGCTAAATACCAGAACATCCGCAAACAGCTTAGAGCCAAGTACCTCCACAGTCCATCCAAGTCATCCATCCCTTTCACCAAGTGGTCCTCCTCATCTCCCAAGCTCAGCACTGAAGAGCGTGAAGCAATGGCAGGGCCCTCTACACACGGGATAAAGTACCTGCGCGCAGTGAGAGACCCTGGTATCGAATACCGCTGCAAAGATGCCGAGACAAGGACGGGTTCTATTGTGTCTTCGTACGTGGCGGTGGAGGGTCAGCAGATGCGCTCCCAGGTTGATGTTGGCAGGGTGAATTTCTTCTTCAAACATCCTTTTTGGGAGAGGAAGTTTCCTTGCCAACGTCACCTGGTTCCCGACTGCTACCCGAGACCCGGCGTCGGGACTGCTACAATCGGATACGACCAGACAACGAGCAGCTGCGACGGCCACGTCCTTCTGCAGATTGTCGTATCTATCTCACCCACTGGTGACGGCACGGGATCCAGATGATCCTAATACATTATGGATCTTAAACTTCGACAATCCTTATACTTGTTCCCCCCCAAATTAGACCTCCACCAGCAATTTTAGTTTGCCAGGTGCATGCTCTGCAGTAATATATAATGGTGGGTTACCCTAAAATATATACTTTTCTCAGTTTTGGTACTGTGGAACTGAGTTTTGAATGGTATATACAGGCACCAGGCATGCAGATTATAATCTTGTAATGTGAAATGTAATCTAGATTCATACTATTGGCTAGTATTGATGCGATTTTTCTGGAAATTGCCCCTAGCTTCAATCACAGTTCACATTGCAGCCTGTAGTCAAGGGAAGTCAGAATTTATAAGTGTTTGTTAACGTGGCATTTCCTGATTTGTGTAAGTTGTTTATGTTTGTTCGTGTACATTAGTTATGTAATCAGTATGTAATTGTTTTCAGACTTCAATTTTGGAATGTTGTCTGTTACTTTTCGTGACGTATATCCTGATTGGATAGTCTGATACATTGATGGTTTAGATTCATGCTGGAAATCGGAGCCTGTGGTGTACTAACTTTACCAATGTTACCTGTTGTATGGATACTTTTTATTGAAATGCCATTTGTCAAGATTAGAATTGTAAATATGACTTATAGAGAATTGTATATATATACATCTCTGTCAGTCAGTCTCAAAAGACTATGACTAACTGCGCCTGATCTTTTTGCGCCTGATCTTTTTATTTTGTATTTTCCCTAAGTCACTGTGGGGGGCATTTAGCATGTCCATGTTAGGAAAACACGGGGTATGCCCGCTTCTGTTGTTATGGCGTAATAAATGGAACACGTCCTTGCTTATTTAACATCAGATTTGTGTCGCTTGCTTGTAATTAGTGAATAAAAATTAAGGAGGCTGAACTCTCCATTCTAGTTTTAATCTTGTACTTTTTTCGGTGCATACCAGGGATTCCATTAATAACGGGTCGGGGGCGGAAATATCTGGCACGAGTTTGCGAGTTTATTTGTTTACTTGTCCTAACGAGTGACTTGGGGACTCATTAATTCGATTCTTCAAGATACTGTATAAGTTTAAAGCATTAACTTGATGTATTTCATGATGCTTACACGATATTTTGTACAGACTGCCATTACAAACTGGACCAAAGGGTTTCAAACATGTGATTCTTTACTTTAGTGTTTTAAACGCCTTGACTGGCCTTGGCCAAACTATCAATGTGTCGCGATATTCGGCGCTTTCACTTGTAAAATGGATAATTAGCAACATAAGAGTGGCACGCGAGAGGGAGTGGAGGGGGTTTTCACACCTTTTGTTCGTTGATTAGTACTGAATGATAGATAATAATCACATCATACAATAAGGTAATAGGCCTGTATTGTTTACAATACACATTCGCGCGCTTGCCCCACAAATGATCATGATTAGCCCATTCAATGGAGAAGACCCACAAGTACACTTACCTTTTACATATTCTGTCAACTCACATGATTCCCGGTCTTGTGTAATCACGAATCACATTAATTTCACATTTATTTCACATGTCAAAAATGTGATTTGATGTCACATTTTTTCACATTTTGCGTTTTCGTGAACATCACATAAATTTTACATTTCGCGGAATGCCAGATGTCTTCACATCTTTTCACATTTTGTAGTCAAACCCATTTCACATAACTTTCACATGAAGACGCCGAAGACGCAAGACGAGCGCCGCAGGCGCTCGCAATGTATGGGGAGGGGCATGCTCCCCGGGGAAATTTTGGATTTTGAAACCTTAAATAGCACCATTTGCTCTTTATGAGAGGCAAAATGAGAGTGGTTTTCGGCCTCTCCTTTTACTTACGCCGCCATATTATCGATACGACCGCACTGTCCCCTTAACATGTTTACTTCTGGGATACGTATTCTAGTCCAATGTTTTCAGCTACATGGCTACCGGCTGAGCTTGGGACGTCTTATATCGTTGGAAATAATATTAAAACTTTGAAAGGTCACGTCTTTGGTTTTCTACATTACGTATTTTGGGTCAATACGTTAGGCCAACGTCATATATGAAAAAAAGGCACGGATATATCATGTTCATTTTGGTCTGCAATTTCCGTGCCATAATCATGTACATTGAAAACGTTTTTAGGTCTATACCAAGTTTTATGTCATTGATACATTACATATGCCAGGTAAAACGTCATGAAATCAAACGGCAATCATTCCGTCCAAACTAACACTATTCACTGTTTCCATTTTACATCAAAATTAAAATTGTCTACATAGTGCTTCAAACACAAGAGTGTGTAGTTGAAATAATAACCTTATTCGTTCTGGAATAGGTTGCCTAAATGGGTACGTCTTCCATCAACATAGTCGTCGATGCTTTAAGGCCTTCAACAACAGGACAACCTACAACGGTGCAGTCAGTAGGTGTTCTTTAGACAGGGGAACCCTTGCCATACCCCGAGACAGCCCTACCAACGAGTTCCTCATCGGTCTGAAAAATGGCGTCGACAATAACGCTCCCTTCCGTTTTGGACTGACTGATGTCCTCCAGGAGGGAGTTTGGATTTGGGACGATAACGTTCCTCTCGGCGACTTCAGGGCTTGGGGTCCAGGCGAACCCAACAACGCAGGTGACGAAGATTGTGCCGAGTACTTTACCGAAAGCGATTCCCACAGTAACACATGGAACGATGGAACATGTACCGAGGCTGACAGGAAGTTCATCTGTCAACTCTCTCAATTAGGTAAGTTTAAAAACATGTACATCTTCGTTTGCACTTTTAATTTTTTTTTAATAGAAGAGTTGCTTCGCACATTGCTATACATTGTGCCCATTTTTCTTTCCACCCTTTTTTTTATCAGCATAACGTGTTGGAGATGTTGGATCAAAGACAAAGATCATCGTTGTTTAGGTCCTCCTGATGGCTGCCCTTTGTTCTTCCGGTTTCAGTATCTTTGTCCTGGACATTCTAGGTTTTTTGGAGTGACATTGTTCCTTATTAAAAAAGGGCCATAAAGCCCAGGTCACTTCGGAGAGAAAAGGCAATCCATTAGTTAGTTCAGTACGATGTCTGTTTCCAAATTCGGTTAATGGCGCGCATTTCATACAGCGTAGGATGTTAGTATTTTAATCTTAACATTCAGGAAAAATTAAAGCTGTTGTTTTTGGGGTGTTTGTGTGCACCTGTGCGCTCTATGTACCTAAGACGCGCTGACTTTCCCCAAGCAAAGACCTCATTTTAATATCATAATGACAGGGACTTTTGTATGGTCTTCTACAACTAAAGATGTAACAAAGTTAAATACAGATATTAGCTCTATTTTTTTTGGGGGGGGGGCTTGCGATGGGGTGGGGGGATATGTACTTCTTTAGATCATGTGAAAATTTGTAACTGATCACTAAATGAGATCGCCCTGTTTTCTCGTTGGCTACTCTCGGCAGTGGATGAAATTCTGGAAAATTAGAAAGAGTTAAAGGGTTTTTCTTTTAAATAGTTGTTACATTTTCTCACCTGTTAGGAAACCCTGGCACCCATAACACCAATGAGACGTTCCTGCTGGTCGCTGATGTTTATAAAGAAATCATTCTTCAAGTTAACATCATTACCGGGTCGACTGTGACGCTTCCATTGGGAGATGTAAAATGCATTGGCCGCATTGTGGTTTTCACCTATTTTCTGTTATCGCGATGCAGTAATCCCTACAACGACTGTGGAGAACAGCACCCCACATGCCCCAACAAGTACGACTGCGGAGAACATCATCCCTCAGACCACCACAAGTACGACTGTGGAGTACAGCACTTTAAATGCCATCGCAAGTACGACTGTAGAGTACAGCACCCCACAGGCCCCAACAAGTGCGACTGTGGAGAACAGCACCCCAAAGGTCCCCGCAAGTACGACTGTGGAGAACAGCACCCCACAGGCCCCCGCAAGTACGACTGTGGAGAACAGCACCCCACAGGCCCCCGCAAGTACGACCGTGGAGAACAGCACCCCACAGGCCCCCGCAAGTACGACTGTGGAGCGAAGCACGATCAGCATACCATCCTCTGGTAGGAAGTAATCTTTCTTTAGCTTTCTACTCAACTTCAACCTTTAGTCCCTTTAGTGCCCCTGAAGCTTCGGTCATGACCCTTTCCAGGGATAAGGCTTCAAACCTTGCGATTGAGCTTTTTGTTTCTTGTTGAGGGCTTTAAAGTCGCTTATAACATTGACGGTGTCACGCGACATGAATTTTTTTTTCTATGAAGTTTGAAGAATGTCATGTTTTTGTAGAGTGTCCACCTGGCTACACCGCACACAACGCTTCATGCTTCAAGGCACACAACCAAGACAAGACCTACAGTCAGGCCAGACAGGTGTGTGCAGCGGACGGGGGACTCCTCGCCATGCCGAAGGACAGAGAGGTGGACAACTTCTTGATGGAACTCAAGAACGCCGTGGATCCCAACTCTCCTTTCTGGTTCGGCCTGAACAATCAGAACGGAGAGGAAGGGTGGGCGTGGGAAGATGGGACTCCATACAGCCCAACCGCAGACTGGACTGGATGGCAGCCGGGTGAACCTGACAACAACGGAGGAGAACAATGTGTAAACCACTTCGGGACCGGATGGAACGACGCGCCGTGCTCGTCTGCTCACAAGTTCATCTGCCAGCTGAATGAGGGTATGCCATCTAGCGTTGTATGGTTACACATAATTACGTTTTTATTACTTATGATAAGACGTCTATACGTTATCATGCTTCATTGTTACGCTTTTGCCCTGGTGGAAGAGAGAAGATGAATAAAATGAAGGAACCCTAGGCCTTTATACATGTATAATTATACGCCAGGTTTAAAAGTTTCGATGTGCCTCTCTCGGTGCAAATTAGTGTGAATCAGAACGAAATGTGTCAACTTCTTTACACTTTTTGGTCTTTTCAAACTTTACAGTATTGCCTGGTTCAAAACACCCATGCTTTATTGCCGATGGATCATAATCGAAATAGGGACGCATTTAAAGTTGCATGTTTTGATCTTACATTAGGACGATACAAAAGTAACGTCCCTTATTTCTTAACAAAGTAAGTTAAATACCAACCCTAGTCCATTGCAAAAAGTGCCAAAATATGACGCCTTATAAGTGTAAATTTGAAAAGTTAAAAACACAGCTGTTAGCAAAGTTTACACTAATTTTTGTAGTCTGTGATGGTATTGCAAACTAAATAAGGCCTCGTATAGGATGTTTTAGCCAAAAAAAAAATAAATGTCAGAAATGTGACATAATTTCACAGATATTTTGAAAAGTAGACTGCAAGCGAATCGCATACACACGGGGATTTTTTTTAATTTGAAATATTTCAATCTTAGTTTGACATAAATGTTACATGATGTCCCTCTAACAGACTGATCCCTTACACAGCGGTCCAATGCCCCCTCGGGTACTTCCGGTGCGAACACGGACATGCCTGCACCCTGACCTGGAGGCGGTGTGACGGGAGGACGGACTGTCCGGACGGGAGTGACGAGGACGGTTGTGGTAAGTTGCGAAAATGATTTCATCACGTTGGTAGAATATAGAATATTGAGATTCTTTTTTCCTGCACAACCAGTGCTTCTCTTACCTTGCTTAAGACTAAATGACTGTAGACTGTAGGACTAAATGAAGAATGGTGAAGAGAATGATGAACACAAATAAAACAACAGTTAATTTATTAAATAGTTGATGACATGTGATGCCAAAATGGTCATTCTCTGTTTTGAGTAAATGTGGTCAATGAAGAAGACTGTATTTTCTAGCATTTTTCTAATTTATTTACACGTTGGGCAGATTTCTGAAAGAATAATTTTTTTAATATTTTGTCAGTGCATTCCGATTCGATACGGGGCTAACAAGCCCCATGGATGATCGGAATGCACCGCGGCTAATGCTGTGGTCACATTTCCGGTCGGGAAATCTTATAGGACAAAAAGCGTGATACAAAAAGACGAGAGAACATAAGGAAGTTGATAAAATAATGATGGGAACTATTTGCGTGCATTATTGATATCAATTGTTGATTTGTCGTTAATCAAAACAGCCCGGCCGGGCCCGGGTTGGAAGTGTGACCTCAGCATGAGTGACAACAAGCTGATCTAAATTGTGAAATGATACCATTGTTATAAATATATAGAAGAGGGGATTTATTCATCAAGCCGGCCGATATCTCACACACTTGTTGTAATTTCAGAGTGCCTGCCGATTCCTGGGGATTTCAACCTCGGCATCAGGCTGGCGATGCTGCCCAATCAGCTGGGTCAGACGACGTTTCAGGAGATACGAAATTCCCCTGCCATGGACCTGCTCAGTTCGGTCAACGACACAAAGAGCCGACATCCTGAGTTCCAAGAGTTTGCGTCTACAGTCATCTTTCCGCGTTGTTTTGTCTGCGAAGAGAAAATCACTAACTTCTCTTCGTCTCTACATGCAAACAACTCCACCCCGTGCGCGTGAGTCAAACATGCGGGGATAGATTCAAATGATTTTTGATCTTTACATAAAGTTACATTGCTTGCAGGGTTGAATTTTTAGAAATTAGTAGCTACCACCTGTATATTCATTCCGAATTCGCGACATAAACGTTTGCGCTTAGATTTCATTGATTTCTTCTTTTGTTTTAGAGTTTTGTTGATGGTGGACGGTAACGAACATCAAGTTATGAAAAATGTCCTTCTGTCGGTCGGTTCTAACTATGCCTATGTTTTGTAGAAACACAACACTGCTACCGTGCCGATCGTGGTGTGAGGAAGTCCTGAACATGGCTGATGCAGAAATAAAGAGCCGGTTCCCTACATGTGACTTGTTTCCGCCACCACAACACCGCTGTTGGAACCCTGAACCAGAAAAGAGGAACAACGAAGGTAAGGGTTAATCTCTTACTTTCCACGAGAAGTAGCAGCTGATATTGTTATGTGCCATTCAAAATTTACCATTCCCTACACGTATTATAACATTATTATACTGATATGAATCTTTTTTGCATGTTATTTTCCAGGTGGGCTAAATGCACAGATGTGACCAAATGTGATCGAGAGGATAAAAATAGTATTGCATACTGAAACGCTACATTCTAATGCTTAGTGCTAGGAGACTTTATATAATAACAATACTATATACTACCTATTATCTACTACTAGTTGCCCTTTCTTCTCTCTTATTACATAGTTTGTCTACTGTACATTCGTTTTTGCATGACATCAAATGTTTAAACGTGTCCTGCTTATGCTGTAATTGCATGCAACGCTACATGTTACAGATATGACAGCTTTGGTGAGTTTGGCTCATATTCATAACAGAAGAGATGCGTCATTTCGTACATTAATAGGATAAATTGCTCATATATGACCGTTTCTCTTCCACAGTTTGCTTCCACGGTAACGGCATGAACTACCGTGGTGCATGGAGTACCACCAAATCCGGGGAAGGGTGTGTGAACTGGTCCGCTGCGCAGGCTGACTTCTACAGGATCGAGTACCCCTGGGCCGACATAAACAACAACTACTGCCGTAACCCTGCCGGTCTGGAGCGGCCATTTTGTCTGCTGGAAGATGGCAGCCAGCAGGAATGTGACGTCATTCCGTGCAGTAAGTTGTCATGTCAAGATGGCGGAAATATTGTGAACCATTCCATGTTCCTAGCACCCAACTGTGTTACCAAATACACAGACTTTCCTCTCAGATCATGCATGCGTCTATGTTTTTAGTTCAGCTTTCATTTTTACGCAAGAGGGAATATTCTATCACGCAGCTACTAAACAAATGATACAGTGACCATTTTTACCATTATTCCTACATGCCTGTCTACTTACCTGTTCAGTCCAGAAGTTGGTCCTTTGCTCCTGACCATATGGTATCTATGCGGACTGTGTGCAGTACGGTCGCAAGATATATCTTTAGGTCCCCTTTGTCAATCTTTCACCCAGGTGTGAATTTGTACATAAATTCGGTTGGGGAAACCTGCGACAGTTCCACAATACGTTTGGTGGAGCAAATATGTTATGGCTTATATCCATCATGTGTATTATGTAATTATTTGTTATTATCATTGTTAAATTAATTCGTATGTGATTGTAACCCGATTGTACACCCTGCATCAATTCAGCACTGTAGAGGGCTGCGATTGCACGGGTAATATTTGGCCAGTTGACCGTTATTTATCATCATTATTATCATAGTACAAGTCCAACACTTTGCATGAATTCTTGCCATATAAGGATGGCTGCATTACCTGACCACTGTACATTTTTTTATTAACTTATAACACCCAGATGCAGACGGCTGCTGGGACATGGGACCTCCAAACTACGGCAGCAGAAGCCCTGTGAAGAGGTTCTACTACGTGGGAGAAAGAGTCGCCTTCACCTGCAACGAGGGGTATTCCCTCAAGTTCGGGTATACCAGCGAAGTGAGATGCAATGAAGGAGGCATCTGGCAATATGACAAGCCCAGTTGTACAGGTGATTATGATGGTGGTTTAAGTTAGTTAGTTAATTTTGCACTTTGTACAGTTAATGCAGTTCAGAACAGCAATTTCAATTGAATATAGTATTCAAAACATATCAAATCGAATCAACTAATAAATTTTTTTTCATGATTTTTAAACTGCCAATCTATCTGAAAGCTTACAGTTTACTTCGTTGCTGTAGATGTCTTCCTAACGTTAGTCTTGTTCTTTCTTCTCAGTGAATATCAAGGGTAGGCTGGAAGAGGACGTACTCGTTGTGTACAGTCCAAACCTGGCACCCGAGACGGAGAACCATACCCAGCCCGTAATCAGCTTTAACGGATCTATAGAACTGATCGTGGACTTGGTAAGTTTTAGTATGACTTGAAGAGGGACAGCCCAGTGGGGTCTTGCAGACATGCTCTATGGTTGGGAAGGGGTGCAACGGGCAGAAAAAAAACACAAGACATTACGGAGGACAATGACGACCAACCCTAATGTTATTTATTGGAATGTAGCGATGATGATGAAGTTTCAGTATCTGTAACACATTTCACATACTTTTGGTTTATGACAAAATATACAACTCATGAACGTCATAAAACAGATGCTGTAACTTTTCTTCCAGGAGGAAAAGAAGGAGCTGCTGGTTGCCTCTTTAGTCATCGACTTCGTAAGTTGACAGGGTTATAAAATTTCTAGGCGCTAAAGAAATTATGCCATAAATTTGTCTTTAAGAGCATTAAAACGCTTTCATGACTTTTCCTGCCTACCTGCCTAAGTGCCCAGGCCAGGTACTGGCCCCTTGCTCCCCTCCGTCAGGTTCCTCCAACCAGTTCTGTCAAGAGCGATAGCCTCAGCTACACTTAAAGTAATCCCTGTGTCACTCTGGATCTGATCTTTCCACCTAGGTGTTTGTCGGTCTTCGCATCACATGCCCAAACCATCCGAGCCTTCTGGTGCGTATCCTGTCAGTTGTAATCTTAACAACAATATATTATCTTCCCAGACATGGCAGGACAGCCGGCTGAGCTGGGATCCAAAGTACTACCACAACATTTCGAGTTTTAGCGTCCCGGGCAGCAGCATCTGGACCCCTACACTTACTCTGAAGAGGAAGTATGTAGTTTCTTGTACAACTCTTAATGACTCATGCTAAGTTGTTTTAAAGATATAATGAACAATATCAGATACCATTTCACTGGTAGAAGCAATTTGAATCTTGTCGTACCAAACATTTCAAGATTTTACCTTAGCCCAATATAAGAAAATGAACAATATTTGTGACGATACTAGGGAGGGGGGGGTGAGACTTGTTTCTTTGGGTTGTTGGATAGTTGGAAATGATATTCAAAGAAACATTAAACTCTACTACTGGATAAATAACGGAAATAACGTCCGGGCGTTTCAAGTGACATTCACTCTTCTTCAGCGTCACTAAATAAACTAAGAGCACAAAACTAATCACATATGAAGGTACTGAAGCAGTTGAAGATGACAAAAAATCAAAAGGGTCACTATTATGTAAATGAGGAAAGTGTAGCTTCTATGGTAAGGCTTAACCGTAGGAACTGCTACTTCCCTTGGGCGGTGTCAGGACGGGGTTTAATGTACTCGAGTGTACATCAAAAAGAAGCGATGAAACCCTGTTGATTCCTCCCCAGCGCTGATCCTTTGTACCAAGGCCTACGAAAGGACGTACCGGTCCGGGTTAGCAGCAATGGCCAGATAACCTGGAGGGTAGAAACCCTGACCACCACCGTGTGTGATGCAGACCCCTTCTACTTCCCTGCCGACACCATGGAATGCGCCATCTGTTTTTCTGCATCCTCTGCAACTGAGCAAACCATCGGTAAGTCCTAGGAAGAAATTGTTGTGTTTCCTGTTTCTCCACCGACACCAAGAAAAAGAAACCTAAATTTATCGACCATTTCTGATTCCATAATCTGATAGATGACTGAACTTTATTGCTCGACAGTTGTACATGGTACAATGTATGGCAATACTGACTACTAGTATTATGAACGTAAACGGCGTATGACATGATGTGCGTTAGACGTTGCTATCTGTTACAATACTTTAATTCTGAAACTGCAGGAGTATTTGTTGAAAAAAAAATTGAAGGAAGATAACTCAAAAACCGGTTGACGTATTGTCGTAATTTTTGGTATGTAGGTAGTTGAAGTGATGCTTGACATAATCAAATGGCAATTATGCAAATCAGGAGCTAATTTTTGTAATGCACTACATATACATTGGCCTAAGCACGTAGATATGAAGTCGGGAGATGACATAGGTAGATTGAAAAAGCCTGTGTTTGTCTTTGGGAAAGGTTCATTAGCTTCACATGTCATTAAATGAGTAAATAAACGTTGTACAGTCGGTTTTATAACATTAACCTTTATATATGATTCATCATGCCAGTTGTGTTTTTGTACATTAAATAAGTTGGATTACTAAAGTAGAGGCCGTGTCTTTAACAACAAAGATGTGTTCTGAAACTTGACGAGAGTCCATAAAATCTACGTTTGGTGACGCATCCCTGTCGTTACGCCACAAAATGACAAGTAGTTAACCCTTGTGAAGGTAGCTGGAACGTCAGCAAAGAAAGTAATCTATATGTTTTATGTTGCTTGTCACCAGTATCTTAAAGTTTCTACTTTTGGCAAATCTAACTAAAGTTCACTGTACGGTTTGGTGTCACTCAGTGATAATTTGTTGTTTTGGAATGATGTGTTGAACACAGAATGCCGAGAGGGAAGTCTCTGTAACGTCCTGTCTACTGCACGTCAGGAGGGCGAATGGTATCGGAAGGACAGGTTCTTCTCAAAAGGTAACACGGAGGCGTGCTTCACTGTTCAGCTGGAGAGGATCCCGCTGTTCCACATCGCCACTACTGTTGGACCCTGCGTCATCCTGGTGGTTCTGATGACCATCACCTTCGTCATGCCCATCGACAGGGGAGACCGGATCTCCTTCGGAGTGACCATTCTCCTTTCTATGGTCGTGACTCTCGTGTTTGTCACGGATGTTCTGCCTGTCAAGGGGGCGCTGCCGTTTTTCGGTGAGTAATGGTGGATATGACATAACTGTGTTGACAACTATTAGTGAACAAACGACAAATTGTTTTAGATTCGATTCCTTCGGTATTTTGGCAACTGGAAAACTTTGTTCTTGAATTATTACCCACGTGTTCCTTTAGCCCCATTCCTCAGGGCCTTATTGAACTCTGTTGAGTTCGTGATCAAACAGTGTAATTTTTCAGTGACCAATTTATACTAAAGATATGGAAAATTTCAGTAATTGTTCATATTCCAGAAACATTCGGGTAACTGTTTATATTCCCGGAACATTCCGGTAACTGTTTATATTCCCGGAACATTCTGGTAACTGTTTCTATCCCTGGATCATTCGAGTAACTGTTTATATTCCCGGAACATTCCTAAATGGAATGATACAGCCACGCTGATTGTCGTGTGGATGGCGCTGATGGGAGTTTTCCTCTTCATCACCATGATCGTCATCACCATCCACGACAGGGAGGGGAGTCTGTCTCCTAGGGCGAAGACGTTCTTTCTCTGCTACATGGCGAAGTAGGTGTAGTTCATAATTATATTACAATAAAGATAATAGTTCTTATCTTGAGAAATTCAACCTGATTATTTTTGGTTGACTACGTTTTATTTAATATTTTTTCATTGCACATTAGGTAAACATGTAATTAAACATTAGAACATATATATTGGCTCTCTGTCTATGTTTATACATTCTATATGATTCTAAAAGAGAGATATTTGCAATAGTTGAGATCACGGTAAATGATGGCAGACATAAGTGAGAAACATTCGCATCATCATCATTTTGACTTCCTTCTTTTTGATGATTATGAAAGGTTCCTCCTGCTCGGAGACCTGACAGTGAAGGAGGCTGCAGGTGAAGATGATGAGACTGGCCCGAACGGCTTTCTGACCGATGACATGGCAGAGGTGGACGTAGAAAGCCCGGCTAATCTCCGTGAGACAACCCGCCAGCCTCCCGTGTCGCCCGCGCCGCCCGCGAGCCTGGAAGTCGCCGGCTTCCGTGACCTGATCCGCGGCGTGGAGGAGCTGACCAGGGCGGCGAAGAGCGAGCCCGAGGTGTCTGACTACACCCTGCTGACCAAGGTCCTGGACAGGCTGTGCCTTTTCATATACGTCATCGCCATTGCTGTGGCAGTGCCCATGACCATGTACCTGGGCAAGTAAAAGTAGTGTTAAATCACAGCATTTGTGTACACATGGCCTAAAACATACTTAGAGTCCAATGTTATCCCTTTTTAGATTCAGAGTCGACAGACGTTTACTTAAAACGTCTGTCGACTTACTTAAAGGCCTCGTCCTTTGGCAACTTTAGTAAGCTAGTAACCTAAAGGTAGAACTTATATCTTTCACTGTTATGGATTGGATATTATAGTGTGAGAATGTGAAATGTGTGCAGAGACTTTTGAGCGTATCAAAGTCGACATGTATATAGTAGTAACCCAACGGTAGAACATACATTTTAAATTGATTTGTTAGCATGGATAATAGTGTGTTTTTGAGCTTATGAAACTTTTTGAGTTATTTCTTGAATGTACGTGTATTTAATATATGTACTAACTCTTTACATTATTGTAGGATCGATAGGTGGCCTTAATGGCGTTTTAAGTATGACTTTGTAAATATTTTGCACTTTAAGTCTAAGATGAGGGAGCTAGAATACTGAATGTAAAATCTGAACATTTTTGTTTCATCCACGACTCCTCTGTCACCTAATCTAGGGTTAATGACCCATTCCGAGGTGTATATTGTGTCATAAAACCCGGTTGTTTCCTATAAGGCCACATCGATTTAATTTTATAGATGACATCCACGCGCGCATTGATTTTCGCCCGATCTCAAAAAAAAAAAAAAAAAAAGAATCACGTATTCCGAGGCTCTGGCCTGGCTTTAGGCCTGGGTAGTGCATGGTGGTGATAACTCTGGTTGACGGCAGCCAGGCTACCGAAGCTCCAAGACTCAAGAACTCAGTACATACGTACAGCAGTGTCGATTCATATATTCCGCAAAAATCCAGCATGTGTCGGCCTGTCGTATACGTCGCTATGTAATGCGCCAAATTCACAATACCAGGTTTGTATTCCTGTGGTTTTGTAGCATTTTTATTTTTGGCCGGATTTTTATTTTTTTCGCCCGCGCGCACTAGTTTGGGGGTCTTCAGGGGATGTCATCCATAAAATTAAATCGGTGTGGCCTAACCCCGAAGAAATGACTGAGTGAGCGAAGCATTAATAGTGTACAGTAAGCCAAAGGTAGTCTAAGTCCAGGATATGACGAGGGTGAAAAACTTAACAGATTCACGTTACGCTTTTTTTTTGTTCTTGTGTGCATGCTTAATATTTAGGAAAAATGTTCAAAAGCGTGAAGTTTGAATAAAACGTAACGCAAAATTGAGCGTCTGTTATAACTGTGTTTCATGTATACAACTTACTGTGCATGCGTCTGTATGTACATAGATTTCCTATCTGACAAAATGAACTATAAAGGTAGCATTCTAAAACATAACGTTGTGTGACTTCGCCGGTTTACTTTACATATTGACCCAGTCATGGATTACGGGGTGATATGTTTTAATCAGCATATGCAATACTAAAATGTACGTGGCACAACGTAAAGAGCATTAATGACCTAAATGTGTGCCCATTCTAGGACGAGCTTTTCTAGCTTAACCGGAACGTTTTTTTTTTTGGGGGGGGGGGGCACAGTTTGATTTTGAGGGATACTTTGTACCTGTTAAGTCTATATAGATACAGTGTATTCCTCCCCTGAGTGTATAGTGAATGAGACCCGGGGTCACAGAAAGTAGGGCCATCCGGGGCAGGCAGGTCTTTTTCAAGGGTTCCAGGAATGTGGGAATAGATCTGGGTCAGATAAATGTCTGTGGACATTCCGCATGCCTGCGGACAAAATGCCTGTACCATTCCTAGAATTCTTGCAAACTGCACACAATACTGTACCATTAGGCTCCTCCCTGACACGTCGCCAAAAATGCCTCCCGGAAGCCACGCCCATATGGTCAAGTACGAGTAACCCCTAGTCAGGCCCAGCTGACAAAGCTGCGAACGCAGACACTAGTTTAACAGGTTTTCAAGCAGTACGCAGCACACAACTCCGCAAAAAGGCTCGCCAAACTCCACCTTCAAGGAGGTAAATCTGTTTTACAGAATCCTTTAGGATGTTTAAAGAGTTTCTCATGATAGCTATCGCTCTAAGAATACATGTAAATGTACAGTGGTTCCCTTGTTTTAGTATGAAGTGTACGTAGGCCGGAAATGTCCGGACACTATGCATGTAGCTAGGTGTGTTTGTCGTTACGCAGCAGTAAGTTGTGAAACAGGGTCAATCCTAACATGTATTAAAAAGGCGTGCAGTACGGTTCAAACGCGTCCTTGTGTTCCCCTGATATAGAATGGCCTAGCAAAAATCGTACTCGCCATACTCAGCTGTTGCAAAACTGTTGTATACATATCGGTAAACAACGATTTCACATTCGTAGGCTACTAACGTTTCAAAATTCGCCATTAAGGTTTGGATACCTTGTTTCACGGTCACGGTATGCTTTCATCAAGTTTTACTTTTACCTAAAGATAAACAATTACTACAAGTGTATTTTGTTTTGCATAGCTTAGGTGTCAGTATTCCACAAGTTGTTTTTGGCATAGGACCGGTAGCGTACAAGAAAGAATGCACTGTCTTTACTTTGACATCGTTCCTGAAATATATCTTACCGTAAGGCATAACAAAGAACAATACAGGTGACTGCACAGAGTACAGGTTACTGGTTTTTAAGGTTAAAAGGTCTGGTACTTCGCAGATAAAACAAGATTATAACTACTACACAGTCCATTTAGAACCAACTTCACAAAGTCCCCTCCCTTTTCAGAACTCGAACTGTGTTCGATCGTGTTTTTGTGATTTCCATAGCCTAAAAACACACTACCCTTCGCTGCACCTTTTACACTGAGGCCAAGGAAAGAACTTCCAGACCATAAAATGTACCTTAAATCCTTGTCTACGATACTACTATAAAATTTCGGAGCGCAGCGCCTGTTACCGAGTCTACAGGAAGTATTTGTAGACCGAAAATGTTGACCAAACTCATTGTGGAAAGTCGCGGTGCCGTCAGCTCAAAATCATACACGACATGGAAGTATACAAGTGTCACAACAGTGTGTCCATTCCTACACACCATTGTGATATTTAAGAAACCACACTCTACATCGAAAAAACTTGAATAATAGCACGGACTAGAAGACATGCCAATTCTGAGAGTTAGTGTTTACCCTTGTTACATGCAGGGTTACGTTTAGGCTGGGAACGCAGACACTAGCTCAACTGGTTTTCCAGCATTCGCAGCACAGCAGAGCACTTCACAACAAAGGTTGGTCGAACTTCATACATGCCAAGGTAAATCTGTTGCAGAATTTATAGAATTCTCATGATAGATATAACACTAAGAACGCATTCCTGCTACCTATACACTACAAAGTGTGTATAGTACGTAGCACGCAACAGCAAATTACAAAACAAACAAAAATCATGTGTGGGGTCGTGTGGCGTAGCGGCAGTGTACGCGACTCGGAACTTAGAGTCCCGGGTTCGAGTCCTGACATGCCACCGATCTTGTGCCCTTGGGAAAGGCACTTTACACGGCTTTCCTCACTTAGCTCAGGTGTAAATGAGTATTGTCCTGTCATGTATTTGTCCCCTGTGTTGGTGGCGGCATTAATATAAGTTGAAAAACTTGAGTGTGCCGTCACCGCGTCTGGTGATTGCATGTTGGAATTAAAAAAAAAAAATTACAAAACTTGGTCGAGTGTGAGTCTCACAATATGTCTTTGTGCCTGCCTGATCGAGTGATCCAGAAAGATCGTACTCGCCGTCCAAATTGCCACAAGATCAGAGCGCATACACAATACGACTGTCGCAAAACGTTCGTATACATGTCGTACAATGACTGCTTACGTATGTCGTGTGTCATATTTCATAATATATTTATTACTACGGACTATCAGTTATGTAGCTAGTCCCTGTGTGTCTTTATTATATTTAAAAAAAATCATAGTTAGGAAACATATGGATTTAAGCTGCCACCAAAAGATCTGCTAGGAGATTAGTAAATCCGTGGGCTGTTTTGGCGCGAAGGTCTGGTTGCGTGCATGAAAGAACGCAGTGTATTTACCCTGGTATTGTCCCTGAAGTATGAGTAGCCGTAAGGCATGACAAACAACAGTACAGGTGACTGCACACGGTGTACAGGTGCCCGATTTTAACCAACGTTATGTGGTAGGAAACAAGGTGGAGGGACTTCAGTGAAAAGAACTACATAAAACTAACAGGGACTTCAGTGAAAAGAACTACATAAAAACTCAGAGCTAAGTTACTGACAACAATACTCTACCTCTACATGTATATTCTTCTATTATAAAGCGACGGTGAATACGTACATTTTCAGATATAATTAAGTACGTTGTGTCCTCATAGGTGACATTTGTCTATGCCCCAAAATGTATCTACTACCTGAACTGCCTTTTTGTTCACCCATTCACACTATGCAACGATACTTCCCTCATTCGAGAATTTGTCGATTTATACAATGCATTTGAATAGGTAACGGTAAATCGAGGATTACGTTTTATTTTGGAAAAAAAAAGATGGTTACATGTTCATATACTTGTATTTCTTAATGTCTTATTTAATGGTTGATTTTATTTGTTTGGAAATTCAATGTTACTAAAGTTGATTTCTGCCTTTTTTTCTATTTTTAATTATTTTCATTGCATAGATCGTGCCAAAAAAAGTAAATCCCTAAATTAGGCAACGTTTTCAAAAGTTAATTTTGGACAGGGTAAATATAAACAAGTCTATGTTATACGCTACATAGAAGCTCTGTTGTTTTTTGTGTATGTAAAACTTGCATCAACGCTATTTTAACTATTGAACGATTTTACATAATACAACTTCAGAATTATATTTTTTACATGCATTTCTATATCATATTCAAATAATAGCTTCTTAAAAACCCTACCTAACTGTTAGGGTATGAAACAACACAGGACACTTAACGAAGAAAAAATCCGAAAGCCTTAGAGAATTGGGTAAACATAGACATGGTTAAATGCTACTTGCATAGACAGATCAAATGTCAGGTAGTACCTGAATACAGGGATCAAGTTGAATTAGCATTATAGGCATGCAAAGAGGACCATACTCAGTGGCACTTTGAAAATTGTAGAACTTAAGGCTGACCTTTGAAAGTGAAAGGACAACATTCCAAATATGTGACTCACGCGTTGACACTTAAACATGGGTGGGCATCTGAAAAAGACTCTTTGAGTAAACTTATAGCTTTTTATCACTTTTTGAACGTGCCCCTTTTCCGTAAAGATTTATCTTAAACCATTATGTAGCATTTCCCCTAAAACCATAATTATCTAGCTTTTGTTGGAGCCCTCAAAATCCTATCTCACTGCATAAGGAATGCATGTTCCATATTCTATTTCAACGTTTGGTTTGGCCATGAAATCCACAAATTGCAGTTCCCCCACCCTACCCATTAGTCCTTGTCTGAACTTACATCAATTTACAGTAGTATAGTCTACTGCCAATTGAATGCAATTAATGAAGGAATAACATTGGCTTAGCTCTCGACCCTCTGACCATCTGAAATTGTCCAATTCATAAAACATAAGACATAGGTTTTGATTTCGAGCTACATGTAGTCACGCATTTCTTTTCTGTGTACAAATAAAGTCATTGTGAAATGGAATAGGTTTAGGCAAAACGTCAATTGTGGAATGGCCTTATAAAATCTTCATCTTTCTTTAAAAACTGCGCTAGTAATGAAAAACAGTAGGCACTTTAGGTGACGATTGGTAAATGAAGAAGCAACTTATGCATCTGTTTTTTTTTTAAATAATTCAAGCCACAACAAAAATTGTTATGGATGGCATTAGCGCGCATTGATTTTCGCCTGATTGTGTAGAAAAAAAAACACATATTGTTAGTCTACAGTCTAAGGTGTTTCATCACGTATGAATAATATTTTCTACATTATTCCCTACAATCTACAAGGACAGGAGATGCTATCAAATTGCAAATGTATAACATAATGGTTGTGATATCATGTTTTGTCGCATAAATTCTTCTTTAACAACTGAAGGCTTATAATCTCAATACTTGAAAATGTAGTAATCTTTTTTTTTGGGGGGGGGGCTTGTTTATTTGCCCTATTGCATTAAATCTGGACTCTAAACGAAGATTGATAACTTATTTGTTGATATTGTAAATATTGTTAAGCCAATTTTACTCACTTATTTACTTGTCTATATGTTAACTGTGAAATACTCACTTGTTTATTACCTTCGCCAAGAAGGTTATGTTTTCAGGGGCGTTCGTGTATGTGTGTGTTTGTGTGTGTGTGTGTGTGTGTGTGTGTCTGTCTGTAAACACGATAACTTGAGAAGGCCTTGATGGATTGTCTTGATACTTGGTAGGTGGGTAGGTCTTGATGAGACCTCAAAATGATTAGATTTTGGACCCCCTAGCGGCTTATTATGGTACTGCAGCTGAACTTCCGGTTTTCATATCTCATGATCTAGACATGCTATGGTGATGAAATTTAGATGGTAGGTAGCTCTTGTGCTGGGAAAGAAGTGACGTGAGTTTAGGCCGCCTAGCGGCTTGCTCTGGAACTGCAGGGATAAATTCTTGAAAATATTCTAAAGGGGATAACTTAAGAACCGGTTGACGGGCCGCTGTGATTTTTGGTATGTAGGTAGCTTATGTGATGCTTAATATAATGATGTGACAATTATGCAAATATGGATGAAATTTGCATAATTTATGGAGAAATTCTATAAATCAGCTGCATTCCATGATAGGACAATTGAAGCTTGTGACATTGGTAATTGACAATGAGAGAAACACAGGAAGATATTGATTATGTTAATAATGACTTAATTTGCATAATTAGTGAGAAAATTTTATAATTATGTAATGATAACTGCCTGGAATTCCATACTTGTGGTATTTGAAAGTTAAATTGAGGTGAACATCATTAAACATAATTTATTCAAATCAGGACCTCATTTGCATAATTTATTAGGAAATGCTAGAATGCATTCTTTGTTAATATAAGACTGTCTTTTGGTTGAGATTATGATAAAATGATATAATTCATGAAAATTAGGTTCCTATTTCTTAAATCAGGGGGGAATAATCTAATCTAAACTTTGTCAGTCATAAAGATTAACATCATTTGGCGAAGGTATGGGATCGGGGAACTCTAGGTTGTCTATATATCCACAATATTTGTTTCTCTGTTTTTAAACACTAGCATACAATTCAGCGCTACTTACTTAGTTGTGCTGCCACATTCTAGAGATTATACTCATCGATCGATCAATAAACAATTATTATATATATATACTATATATTTATATGTAACCCCTACAATTTACTTGCTGTGGCCACAATGATAATTTAATTATAATTATAAAGACTTGTAAATAGTACGTCATGGGAATTGCATAAAAGCTGAATACACAGTACCAATATAGGTGCGTACTGTGAAGTTTGGGATTCAATGGCAAATTATAAGGAAACGGAGATTGGCGCTGCCAAATTTTTAAAGCATGCCATTTGCGAAAGAAATATTTTGATACGAGGCAGCACAAAGTCGAGGCTCATTGCTGTCCCCTCGCGCGTTTTTGCGTTTTGCGCAGATATCCGGGCAAAAAGTACAGGGACAGGATTTTCGATCACCAACAGGCCGAGACAAGGTTGGATTAAACAAGTGAGTAAATTACAAAGCATTTTGGTCTTTCTTTCTCACCAAGAGATGTTATATGATTTGCAAATATTCAACCGATGCAATCTGAAATGAGAAAAAATGTCAAGTTAATTTGGTTTAAAAATGACGTCAGACAGCTCCTCAAGATTGTGACATTTGAAAGCAAATGCGGCATATCTCCCTCAGTCAATTCCAACTGATTTGCTTATACAGTGCTCAAAGCTAGCATGTAAATGCTGCGAAAACATAACAAGACTGTGTAGTTTAATTGGAAATGAAACAGACCGTATCGCCTGATATACATCGCATTTCATATCAACCTAAGCAGCCGATAGCCTAGTGGGGTGTTCAATGCAAATGACTACATTTGTATATTGAAGGATAAGCTAGGAGTTAAAAATGGCGGGAATATAAAAATGTTTTTGAACATCCCCCCCCCCCAAAAAAAACAAATTAGATCATGGCACAGAATTAAAGGTGGTCCAATGGCCACTGACCAATAAGATGTAGGCTGGGACAACCAAAAAGACATTTTTGGACATTTTTGGGACAGTAGAAAAATGATCAACATTAGAATGTCAGCCCTTCTTTTCTTTAGCAGGTACACGTCCCGGCTTTTGGATCCGGAAAAATCCACCATATTTCCTTTCTATACTGCAAATATAGTGCGCCTGGGAATGAACATTAGCAACATTACGTTCACTTCAAGTTGAAGTCATAAATTTGAAATTTATTTTGGGACAGTGCTGGGGCAATAGGAAGAAAAGTAAATTTCGAGGCCTGTAGATGAGTCACAAATTATCATATTTACCAAAAAGCTATGGGGATACATTTCCTGTTCATGAGTCTGAATAAAGCACGTTACTGGATACAGCAGTCGGCTTGTGGGTGGTACCGGTTGTCGCGGGATTAAAACGCGCATCTTGTCAGCAAACTTCCCACTAAAAAGCAGTGTAACAACAAACGCACGGGCTAGGGGACAGCATAGCCTACATGTGTTAGGCCACACCAAGTAAATTTTATGGATGACGTCCTTTGGAGACCCTAAATCTAATGCGAGAGGGCGAAAAAAAACAAGAAGAGCCCAAAAAAACAAGATGCCTAGATTAGAAATATACTAAGAGACGACAAATTGTTAGGACACAAATTGAATGAGGTGACACAGTGTAACAAGCAAGAAGTCTTTCATTCATCATCAAAACAGCAATAAATCAGGTGGAACAGCAGTTGTCGTCCTGTCCTGTTTCTTTCATCACATTTTTGCAGGCCTGCAGAAACAATGGACAAAATTGCGGCACTGTTATGACTCTTTGGTCATAGTTACAGGGAGTGGAATTTCTTTTTTTTTCTAGGAACAGGCCAAAATCAATGCGCGCGCGGACGTCATCCATAAAATTTACTTGGTGTGGCCTTACACAATAACTTCCTGGGCTTCGACCCGTTTTTTCAGAAAGGTAGTTTTAACTTATAGAATCCGCATCTACCATATCTACATCTGCAATGCTGGTTTTAATTGTCGGACGAAAGCGAATCCTTTGGGATCATGAGGGAGATATGCTATGCTATCATGCAAAACTTTCCTCATTCATGATGCCTTCTATTTCAAATTTATAATACCGAAAAGTATTGCAACGTATGGTAGCGTAAACACAGTATTACTTTAAAGCTATTGCTAATATATTACAGTATAACAGTTCTAAGAATTTAGAATTCTTATTGCATTTCTTTTCTTATGGATAATAACCATATGCTTGTACTAATCTTCCATTCATTTAGAATGGACAATGTCCCCCCTTTAAATGTTACATTGAAGAAAACAACTTTGAATTGACTATGATTAAAAGTAATCAATAGATTGATCTTGTTTTCAGTCATAAACCATGTCAATCCCTACTGAACAACCAGAAGAAATTTCTCTCCATGAAACAGACATCGGTGCCTTGGATAAAAATACAGGTAATTTATTTTACTTTTGCACAATATTATGTAAAATATACCTGGTGCACTTTCGTTGTTGTTTTTGTTTTGACAAAATTTATAGAATACCTTTTCATGCGTTTTTTTTTCTTTTCTAAAAGGTCGTCGGGCGGATTTTGCATCGAAAAAGACATCGACATCCCGTACCGGAGGATGGAAAATTGCAACAATCGTTCTGAGTGTTCTGTTTTTTCTGCTCCTTGGCGGGCTCATTGCAATCATAGGTTGGTTTTTGCTTTTATCCTGCTAGAATCCAACTATTTTGTACATCGTTTAATTACGTTTGCAAATCATTGTTTAGCCAGTTTCTTTACAAACAACTAGTGTTTCACCAAATTAAGTTTCAGTGACCGTCTGGCACTTTTCCTAAGGGTGATACTTACTGGTTATTAAACCGACTATCGCACTACAGGTAGATTTCGCTGCAGGTGAATTGGAACGATTCTTTTCCAAACCTGACCCCTTTTTCTCATTGTTTATGACTGGAGAATACTATCTGTCCCCTTTAATAATTCAGCGAGAAAATTTGTAGCTCTGTCTGTCTATCATCCATAAGGACAATCAGAATTGCTGCAGGTTGTATGCAGGTTGCCTGCCTTTAGATTAGTTCCCTGTGCAGGCCTCCGGGCGGGTGGAAGTTTTGATACTAAGTTTTCTAGAATTTTTAACGCATTATTTTGTCAGCCATCTTACAACCAGCCGCTCAGAGAAGGATTGTAGTGCAGACACCACATTTGCGTTGCGCAGTAGAGTGGGTGTAGTGCCTAGTTGATACCTTTAAAAATCCTTTTTTTTTCTCTTGAAAGTTTTGGTCCATTTTTGAGATTTTTGGGCTGGAAGGCACAGGTAGGGTCTAAACGTTCGTACTTTGGTCAGGTTTAGTGGGTGTAATGACAGATGTGAGTGGTTAGGTCTTGTCTGGCCAGGCGGATGGATACCATGACAAATTAGGTCAGAGTTGAGGTTTTGTTACTATCATCAGCTGTGGTGGCGGGAATTTGAGATGGTCGACCCCCTGTTTCCTTTCTATTTTGGGGAATTAGACCCTTGTGGCTACCTGGTGCAGAAAAAAATGAGATTGAAGTATGGGCAAGTACTTTCATGACGACTTCTAATAGTGTATTTAAGCATGTGTTCCTATGGCCAGACCTAATAGTACTGTCTGCCCTGTACCTGCCACTCTGGGCGGCTGGTTGTGGGATGGCCGCCAAAAGAATCCGTTGAAAGTTGTACAAAATGCAGTATAATAACTTCCTCCAGCCAAAAAGGCCTGTACGGGAGGCTACCTTTCGATTTCGTACATGGATATAATTTTGTTTCAAACTTTAGTTATTTTCGTCATCGGCCGTGCCGGCAAAGCTGACAATGGTGGATCCACGGACGTCCCCACCGACGCTACTGATACCGAGACCGTGCCTGGTACGCCGGCAGTTACATCATCACTGCCGTCAACAACACCGTTGCCATCACACCCATCTACCCTACCTCCGACAGGTAAATAACTGACCTACTGTATACACAACCACCCTTTATCGAGAACCATGCCTAGGTATCATTTAGGACGTGCCACGTCCTAAATGATACCTAGGCAACGTGCCAGAAGCATACCTTGGGCAAATCTACGTGTAAAAGTGGAAACTTCAAAAAACATGCCTGATCCTTGCCTAATTCTGAGGTCACAATTCACACACGGGGTCCGCCCGGGCAGATTTTGGGAACGAAAGTTACGATATAACATATAAAAAAACACAGAAAAGTTTTTCATTAATAATCATGGGCACTATTTCTGTATATTATTCATATAAATTGGTAATTTTTTCGTTCATACAAACATGAAATGTGGCCTAAGGCTTAGGATAAGGCATAGAACTAAATAAGGACGGTTCTGGATACGTTTTTTTTTCTCTGAATCTCTTTTACCCGGAAATGACTAGACTTTATGGAAATCAAATGGACTACACTCGATGGCGTCTTTTCTGACATAATATGAGGTCCACTTGCCCCAATTCTACTTTTCTGCAGCAACCAATTGAAACCTTCCGTAGACTACAAAAAATTACAACACAGTGGATGGTTATGATCGCCGTGTTGGCGTCCCCAGTTTCCATTTCAATCAACCTTAACTAAACGGGCTGTTTTATTGACGATTTTTAAAAATAATTTTCAAACAGTTCCTTCTTTGAATCATATACCTTATTTTTATGGGCTTTTTCAAAGAAAAAATAAATTTCTAGATGTCTTATAATTGATATGAATCTTCATTGCATGTTCTTGCATAGATGGGCTAAATGTACAAGAGAAAATGCAGTATGCAAAACATGAGTATTACATGCTGGAACGCTATATTCTAATGCTAATTGCTAGGAATTTATACATTATAACAATACTATATACTACCTATCATAGTTAGGACTATGATTCACCATATTGCTTTGCCGGCCGATATATTATGTTGGTGTCCCTCTAATGTCCCGTGTCCCTCTAATGTCCCGTGTCCCTATAATGTCCCGTGTCCCTATAATGCCCCGTGTCCCTATAATGTCCCGTGTCCCTATAATGTCAAGTGTAAAACTTTTGTTATATGAAGAACTTTATTGCACGACAATTGCACATGATACAATGTATGGCAAACTACAATTTATGAGTAACAACAAGAAGATAGAACTTATGTCGAATGAAACCTAATATATCTATATCATAATTATTCAAATAATAAGGGATAACACAAGTCTTTGATAAAGGACAGACAACACTTAAGCTCCTGTTCTGTATAACAGGAGCTTTCAGACTAATTTGCATCATCTTGTCTTGACTTGTCTGACTTTTGTTCCTTTTTCGACTTCCAAAAATTTGTCTTCACCTTATTTGCATATCAATCAACAGGTTTTGCTTATAAACCTGCTTTCACCTCTGGTCTCTCAGTCACTGACGAAAGCTAGTGGATACTAGCTGAAACGTCTGACGTTTTCAAAATCATATCCAGTTGCTTGAGTAACTGTTTTTTGGCGTATCTTTGATAAAGTGTTACAATCGAGTGGGCTAATCACAAGTTTCGGTATTTTTTCTAATAACAAAGCATTCCTTTATATATCTACCTATTTTTGCGTTGTGGGGACCTTTACATGTAAAGATATACTATATCAACACTATCCCAAACGTGGCTTAGTTTGTACCCCCCCTCGTCCCGGTTCATTACAGGGGTTGACTACAAACTAAGCCACGTTTGGGATAGTGTTCTCGCCGCAAAAGCGCCACCTACATCGGCTACATATAGCGGCGAGATGCAGTACTCCAGTCAGAAGCTCTGAAGAAGGTGTCTGACAGACACCGAAACGTCAGCGAGGTGAGACTCTTTGGTTGTGTAAAAAGAATTCCCATATCTCAACAGTTTAACTATGTAAGGCATATGATGCATGTTTGTTTTTACTTTAGTACTACCAGGGCAGCCCGTTCCTCTGCGCATTCCTGCAGGAGAGTTGGGTTTTTACTCCATGGACCTGTCAGCCCGATTAGAGGTGTCCATGGAGCTGGACACCCCGGGTGACGTGCCTGCTCATGTCGCTGTGTACGGCTGTCAGGGCTGCAGACCGACACATGTCATGTACGATGTCGTACAGACCTCATCAGCAAGGTCAGATTTACCCTTTTTTTGGAACTTTACTGCAATTTACAATATTTATAACGGGTACAATGTGTGGCAACATATACATACTTAGCCGGCAATGCCAAACACCTTTTAAGGGAAGGGATTGCTCACAAAGTAATGCTAACAATATCTAACATTTCTAAGAGGTGACATTTCTAACTGTTCTAAGAAGCTCATCTAGTTTCATATATAACAATAAAGATACAAATTATAATACTAATGTTACTCTGTTGATAGTAATATAATATTGTGTCAAGGATGTATTACATCTCTCGTTTTGTCATCGCATTGTGTATAAATTGGCCTACATACGATGAACTTTAGATTAATCTAGGTACAGTTAAAAGAAATGGAATGAAGTACCTATATATATATGAACTATGGAATTTTGAAATACTGTTAATTAATATGTCTATTCATAGCGTATTAATGTTTTCAGCTTACACCAGAATTTAAAATATGAAAATATATATTTCCACATAAAAAGCTACGTTGCAATGTGTAATTTCGTTGTTAACTGTAAATACATTTTGGATCGTTATGGAGAGCACATGACGCCTTTGAAATTTTAATGTGTTTAATATTTCATAGACCTAAAGCAAGAAATGACGATGACATGGAATTCTCTATGACATGATAATTATGTATCAATATAATAAGACTAGGTGTTTAACATTAGCCATATCTTCTTGTATATTATTTATAATGATGACGCTAACAAACAGTTACAAGGTTACAAAAAACGTCTTTATTTTAAAAAAAGTGTACATTGTATGCTAATCTTCTTATTGAAACTACTGCATAATCACGCATAACTGGAAACTTTTATTATAGTAACGTTGAGCGGCAGAAACGGGCCACAATCACCATCGACTTCCCAGGTTTGACGTTTGAAGGGAGCTGGATCTTTGCCGTCTATAACGGAGCTGGTCAAACATTGGAAGGAACGATCTCCTTCGTCACAACAGGTACAGTCAACTCTTGTACTGCTTTTAGTGATCTCTAGGTTACGTGTACTTTACTGGAAAAATAGTTAAGACATTCTAATTTATCATTTGTGTTCAGTTTGGTTCAGATGTATTTTAAATTACCTTGCATGTATATTTAACAATGTCAAATAAAAGAAGTAGTTTTTTTACAGTCACTGCTATCCATTAACGTCATAAATAACAAAACGAAATTGTGTTAGATACTTCTATTGATTTATTTGATTAAATTATTTTGTTGTTTTTTATTGATAATATTTGCGAGCAGAAGCTTCTTGTCCAAATGACTGTTCCAACCATGGTGAATGCGTGGACGGAACCTGTGCATGCTTGGCAAGCTGGGCCGGAGATGACTGTTCCTTAGGTCAGTACATCTATTTGTCGACAGCCCTATTTTCTTTGGTACCACTTATTTGCATGTTGCCCATGGCTCTATAATATTTTTTTGGCGAAGAATGCATGTACTAACAACGAATGCACTAAGGTGGAAAATCTATGTCGAGATTGCATTTTACCTACATTTCCTGTAATAAAATATGCATGGAAATGAGTAATCGATGCTAGGAACGGATGCTAATTGTTTAAAAAAAATCCCATACAGAGCTGTGTGACCCTGCCGACTGTAATGGAAACGGGGCATGTGTCTCTGGTTCCTGCAGATGTTTTAACGGATGGCAAGGCAGCGGTTGTAACACAGGTAGTCGTTACTTCGCAGCAGTAATGAAACTTTGGTAACTAACGGTTGTTAACATTTTATTTCCGCTGGTGAGTTTAGGAAAATTGCCAAACGTCATTATCCAGACAATTAAAGAAACTGGTCAAATATTTCTTTAAACACCAGGATATTTAAAAAATAGACAGGAAATAGGAATTACTAACGCAGCGATTGATAAATATCCTGGATTTAATTTTTTTTACTGCGACGGTCTAAGTGTGCCGGAAATCGTGTGAGTTATGTTAAATGAAATAAATAAATAAATCATTCCAAGTGCACAACATCTTTAGTATGTAATTGATGTTGCAAGGGAATAGAGTTACGAAGCATTGCTATAACGTATTTGTGCTGCATGTTGTTACACAGCATTCCGACCCTGTCCAGCGGATTGTTCTGGACAAGGCACGTGTAACAATGTAACAGGCCAGTGTGACTGTCGAACACCTTATAAGGGAGTGGATTGCTCACAAAGTAAGAAATCTTTTGTTCCATTCCAGAAAAAAAAACATGCTCTGAAAAATTTTGTTTTCTAGTGGGAGAGAGTACAAGAAAAATAAAATGTACAAAAATGCACGACGCAAACCACGCATTGAATACAGATAGTTAAGCTGATTCTACATATGCTTGGATATAAGCTAACTAATCATATATAGGACGACAGAAACATATATTACATAAATTGAAGACACCTACAATTTTAAAGATACCGCCTGCTGGTAGATTTAAAAGGACACACACACCATTTGGGAAATCTTATGCGTGATCATGAAGACGAAATATCAAGTTTGAGTGACACTAACTCATTCAATGAGTGTTCAATGGATTTGTAGACCTTGGTATTAAATGGATGTTTAACGTATATTTTTGTTAAGTTGAGCCTGTGCCTTGTGAGGGAACGCCGAACAATTGTTCCGACCATGGCAGCTGGAGCGGCGGAAGATGTGTGTGTCTTCCAGGATGGACAGGGCAGCGATGTGAACTCCGTAAGTAGTGCTTTCATTCCGATAAATACAGCAATAAACAGAATGATTCTTCAGGTCACTAAATCATTTAGTTCTTTGTTACATATCCTCTTATAATCTTTCATGTCTATTTTTTTGGTAAGTTCGCAACTACATTTTCAAGCGCCCATTAATACTTCTTAATACCTATATATAGTACGTAACAAGCCCAAAATCATTATTTCAAAGAAATTAATATAATGTACTACCATCACCAGCATATCCGATATATGCTTATGACAGTCACAAATGGTTGATAATGTTATGTCTTGGAATAAAAGTTACCCTTTTGTACTATTTATAAAATCGAACGTTGTTGTAATCTCTTAGCTGACTGCAACCCTAGAGACTGTAACGGTCGTGGTGTCTGTATCAACGGGACTTGCTCCTGTGAGACCGGCTGGAAAGGAGAAGCTTGTGAAGAAGGTAACTTTTCTAGAAGTAACGGCGACATGGTTTCTCAAAGATCATAATAAGTACCCGGCGTAAATAATTTCAGCAGGTTGGTACACGAATGAATAAGTTTTTGGATCACAAGCAGTTATTTTTTTGTTAACACAGTTAAATGTTTCTGTTAACGTTAAAAACTGTGAACCAAGTAACGGTGTACTGTGAACCATGTAACACCTTAAGTGCACTATGCATCGAGTAACATCTAGTGTCACTGGCGGTGCACAGTAAACCAGTGTTGTAAAAATAAGGTTGTGATCAAAGAACTTTGCTATTCATCATAATAAGTACTTCTATCCAGCTCCTTTACTAAGAAAGCGATAATTGATCACTCACTGGGCAACCAAATTCACCATAATCAACCATAAAAGTTCATCTGTACAAGGGATTGGTAGAGTTCAGTGTAAAGCCTTTCAACAATGCTTCGTCAACAAAGCCACCACGTACGTATACGGACTGCAATACATTTCAGGCACTTAAAGTTCACTGTATACTATTCACCGAGTAATGTGCCTTATCTACAAAATGTGACCTTACGAAAGTTCTGGTTTATGCCATCTTTAACATAATATTTATGCTTTATATCTATTGTGTTTAGGAGCCTGCATTCCGCCTGACTGCAATGGAAATGGCGCCTGCACGGAAGGAACCTGTCGGTGTTTTCATGGTTGGCAGGGCGCCGCTTGTGATACACGTATGTAGTACTACTTGTCGTTCGATAGGACACATATTGTATATGTGTGTCTAACATATTTTACCATCGTGAAGTAGTTCCTTATTGTTAGTATCTGCACTGTAACACATTGCTTTCATGAAGACAGATACTCAGTGTGTCTTGTTTTCAGAAAAAAAATGTTGATTCTATCAACTTAGTTTCATCCCATACATAGTTTCCTGTTATGGCATGAAGCTTTTTTGTGTGTGTTGTGTTATTTTAATTCAATTGCAACGAGGCAATACATTGGCCACCCAGACAGCATGGCTGATATCGGGTGCTGGAAGATACACAGATTAATCATACACAATATAACGTACTAATAGGCTAACAAGCTTTATTTTGGTATGTCTACAGAGTATCGCCGCTGTCCTTCTGACTGTTCAGGCAGTGGTGTTTGCAACAATGTAACCGGCATCTGTAGCTGTGAGCGGCTGAGCACAGGACTGGACTGTTCTGAAAGTAAGATTAAAATTGTCATTATATTTTGAACATGCTGGAGTGGAATTGTAAATAGAATTAAATATACATAGCTGATACAGGCCAATCCACTTCGTAATGTTGTTAGCTTCTGAAAAAAAGGAAGAAAATACTAGAAAGGCCGACATTTTTTTTGGAACAAATTCAGCATGGCTTCACCGCATTTCGGGGCGAAATGTTCTCTCAACGGACAAACTCTCTCGCCATGCTTATCTCCTTTATTTGGCAGATTTCTACTCTTTCCAGCCGCCTCCCCAAGCCTGGTAGAGGCTACGAAAATATAGCGAAACAGAAATCATTCTGTGAACATAAATATGTTTTAGGCCTTTATATTCTTTTCTATCAATTGGAAACGACATTACACCACGGAGTTACGCCTGATCGTTGTACAGTGACTGCATTTAAAGTTACACTCCGTGATGTGCTTTGAAAATGTAAACAGAATGATTATGGTCAAAGTTCAAAATACCATTTAAAATCGCGACCTTACTTGCACGGCTCCTTGGCTTATCAGTGTTTTGATCTGTCAAACCTGCCCTCATGAAGGACACTATACAAAGGCGGTGATTTGTGATAAACTCTCGCCACAGGGGTTGTGTTCACTGAACAATGGGCGCCCCTGTGGCAAAATATCCGACATACTTGGGCTAACTTCACACTGTGTTCAACTTGCTTAACGTTTGGAGTTGAACAACCCCGTGATTCTCTAGTGCACCTGCTATAATTTGTACCGCGTCGAGGTGTCGGGGTGCTTAACTATAGGAATCCCCATAGGGCGAAAACTGCTCTACCACCTCAACCATTTTAGAAGACAACAAAATGATTTATTTAGTCCTACCCTGTGTGTACGAGTGGGCTTACTGATGTAGCATTAGTAGATATTTTTAAACCCTTCATATTTCTGTCACAGTTGAGTGTATGCTTTGCATCATTCTTGATTACTCTGCTCTTTGTTTTTAAAAGGTAACATCAGTGCGACTTGAAATAAAACTGGAGTAACTAAATGTATAAACAATAAATTTTATGCCTTATATTCTTTCTCCGTATATTGTCAGAGCTGTGTGCAGACTGCTCACTGAAACATGGAAGTTGTGAGGATGGCGATTGTATCTGTGATGAGGGCTGGGGAGGACCTTCATGTAGACAATGTGAGCTGACTTTATTAGATGTTATCTACTCTATTCAAGCCCCATGATGTTCGCTTATCTGATCTGTCCACAGAAAGTTTAGGGTATACAAGTTGTAGTAATGTATGCACGTGTTTACATGTATTCATAAATATTGCATATATTATTTAATTATATTTGCATACTGAAAAAATGCCATGCTCCCGTTACCCACAGTTCATAATGTTGCATAGACCTTTACAATTACATGCAACATGTATCGGGTTTAAGCAATCACACTTGAATTATTAAATGACGTTTGTGACAAATATTTAAATGTTGACGAGTGCCAGAACTAAGCAATACAATGAGTAGACAGTAGCAAACATATAAGAGATGCACCATGGACGACGACCAATATGTTATTGAGTGACACTAGATTAATTTACTGCCATCCTATTTGTATGTCAGGGCTCTCATTCTCCCTATTCCTTACTCTATGCAAACCTATGTACCGAAGGAAAATGCCAAGCACTACTAATGGTTTACACTGTTGCACTGTAGAATTATTCTGTTACAACGTTAATGTGTGGAACGGTTATTTTCAGTACTCTGCAATGAAGTATGTGGAATCCGTGGAACCTGTATCAATGGAACCTGCCATTGTAACCGGGGTTGGAAGGGACCAGAGTGTTCTCAAGGTAACTACTGTAACATTTGAAATCTATATTATTGTAATTAATATGTACTTCTTTTTTTTTGTTTTCATGACCTTTGTATGTTTCCGACGACTTCTGGCCAGCAAAACTGAAGAAGAAATGAGTGGATTGTAACTATATTTGGCGTCATGGCGTTTGTGCATTTCTTTGAAAACGAAGGTCAAGAGAAATTTTCGACCTCTTGGTGGATTTTCATTGATACTACAGCATATTTTTTTAAATCTTTTTTTTAGAGAAAGAGAACTTTAAACATACTATGGACTTGATGGTTGGGTGGCATATAGTTTTAATGTATAAAGGATTGTAAGTTTTGTTATTTTTTTGCGTAGTTTTTAGGTTTTGGCACGTTATTTGATATGTATACAGGTATATGCGGACTTTGTTGACCTAATTTGCAGAATGTATAAGGGAATTGCTCATTATTGTATGATAGATATGCGTCGATGAAGGTTAGACATCCAGGTAATACGATATGCCAAAAAACAGTTACTCAAGCAACTGGATATGATTTTGAAAACGTCAGACGTTTCAGCTAGTATCCACTAGCTTTCGTCAGTGACTGAGAGACCAGAGGGGAAAGCAGGTTTAATATACACAACCTGTTGATTGATATGCAAATAAAGTGAAGACAAATTTTTGGAAGTCGAAATGGAACAAAAGTCAGACAAGTCAAGACAAGATGATGCAGATTAGTCTGAAAGCTCCTGTTATACAGGACAGGAGCTTAAGTGTTGTCTGTCCTCGGGGCTGGGAGTGCCAAATCCCAAGTGCCGGAAAGATCGACCCGTAGCCCCCCTTCCCTGTTGAGGGTGGGGTTGTACATTCTTTCATATATTGCCTCTTTAACACCCCGTTCCCACCAGCGTGCTTCGCTGTCTAAGACATCCGTGGACTCGAGTTTGCAAGAGTGACCCTGGTTGTGTTGTAGGTGGTGGAAAATAGCTGAGGAGTAGCCGTTGGCACTAGGTCGGCAATGTTCTTTGTACCTTACTTTAAGCGGTCGACTTGTCTCTCCGATGTAGGTGTTGTTACAATTGGGCTCCTCACATTTGAGTCTGTAAATGACATTCGCCTTGGTACCCTTGTGAGGTCGGTCCTTAGGGTGTACCAGTCTTTGTCTGAGGGTTGAGTGAGGTTTGAAGTTAGTGGCTATGTTGAAGTTTTGGAAGATCCGTCGGAGTTTCTCAGATACTCCTTGGACATACGGAATAGTGATGTTGGCCTTGTTTTTGTTGGTCAGTGGTTTGCACTTCTGGGTTTTCTTAGACTGATCTGAAGGTTTGAGCGCTTTGTTGAAAGTCCAGTTTTGGTAGCCACATTTAGCCAGGGCACCTCGGTGGTGTCTTTGTTCGTCCGTTTTGGCTTGGTCTGAAGTGACAATGTTGTCTGCACGATGGAAGAGAGTTTTGATCACTGCTAGTTTGTGTTCCAAAGGGTGGTGGGAATCAAAAGCCAGGTACTGATCAGTGTGGGTTGGTTTCCTGTACACTTCGAAACGAAGGTTACCATCTTCCTCTACGATAGTTTTGGTGTCTAGGAAAGGGAGCATGTTGTCATGGCTTGGCTCCTGTGTGAACTTGATGTTGTCATCTATCTGGTTGATGTGGTCAAAGAAGTCAGCAGCTACCCTCTTTTTCAATCTGCACCAAGTGTCATCTACATATCGAAACCAGTTGGCCGGGGGAGTGTCATTGAAAGTGCTGAGGGCTTTGTTTTCAAACTTCTCCATGTACAGGTTTACAACAATTGGTGAGACTGGTGATCCCATAGCACAGCCGTGCATTTGTTGGTAGAACTGTCCTTTGTAGGTAAAGTATGTGCATCCTAAGCAGAGTTCTAGTAGCTCACAAACTTGGTCAACGGATAGGTTGGTTCTATCTGCAAGTGTATCATCGGCTTCCAAGGCTTCCTTGACTACTGACACTGCTTCCTTGGGTGGTATGGAGGTGAAAAGTGAGCACACGTCATACGAAGTGATGGTTTCATCATCCTCTACATGAATGTCTTTGATTTTGTTGACAAAGTCGGCACTATTCTGTACATGGTGCTGAGATTTCCCCACTAGTGGTCCTAAAATCTTGGCTAGAAAACCTGCTAACTCATAGGTGACAGAGCCTATACTGGAGACTATGGGTCGTAGAGGGACACTTTGTTTGTGGATTTTGGGAAGGCCGTAGAAAGCAGGGGGTTGTTCCGTTGTGGGATTGAGTTTTAGGTAGGTGGGGCGATCCAGAACTCCTTCAGTTTGCAATTTCTTGAGAGCTGAACTGATTTTCCCTTTAAACTTGTTAGTGGGGTCCTTTTTCAAGGGCATGTAGGTGTCTTTGTCTCCCAATAGGTCCTGTACCTTCCTGTCGTACTGCTCCCTGTCTAAGACTACTGTGCATCTGCCCTTGTCTGCAGGAAGAATCAATATGTCTTGATTGGTAGCCAAATCTTTGAGAGCGGTACGTTCTTCCCGTGTGATGTTACTAGCAGGGGGTTTGGAGACTTTCAGGGTGGTAGCTACTTTGGTGCGCAAGGCTTCAGCTTGTCTCTGTGGTAAACGTGCCCGACGAATTGCTGACTCGGTTTCTGTCACAATGTCAATGCTGGGAATCTTGTTGGGTGCTACTGCAAAATTTAGACCTTTAGAAAGCAGTGATTTCTCTGGTTCTGTGAGAGTATGGCTACTTAGGTTTTTTACCCACCTCTCGTCGGTTTTGGCCTGTGTAGTGGTTTTGGGTTCGGAACTGTTTGATCTCCAATTTGGGTCACTATCTGCTGCGCTAATAGTCTTCTTTTGCTGTAAACGATCAAATTTGGTCTTCTGTCTGTCTTTTCCCTTCTCGTGCTGATCAAGTTGTCCGCGTGTTATGAACTCTTTAGTTTCGGCAAAAATCTCGTCTGATAGTTTCTCCCTCAGTAGTTTTTCAAGGTTAGATTTCCTCGCGTTTAGACCGTCTAATTTGTAGTTGATCTGTCTTACCCTTTCGTTTAGTAACTTTCTTTCCGCGTTGAAGATGATCTTGTTGGCGTTGAAGCCTCTGATGGAAGTTTTTAGGCGTAGGCTGGTGGGTGTGATACTTACCTTGAGGCAGCGTAGACTGAAGCGTAGATGATTCCGGAAATCTGCAATCTTCCTGCTGGTCTTCTCCAGATCCCTCACAGAGCTCAGGCAAAACTTACCGTAATGATCCAAGATACGTCGATGAAGGTTAGACATCCAGGTAATACGATATGCCAAAAAACAGTTACTCAAGCAACTGGATATGATTTTGAAAACGTCAGACGTTTCAGCTAGTATCCACTAGCTTTCGTCAGTGACTGAGAGACCAGAGGGGAAAGCAGGTTTATATACACAACCTGTTGATTGATATGCAAATAAAGTGAAGACAAATTTTTGGAAGTCGAAATGGAACAAAAGTCAGACAAGTCAAGACAAGATGATGCAGATTAGTCTGAAAGCTCCTGTTATACAGGACAGGAGCTTAAACCTGCTTTCCCCTCTGGTCTCTCAGTCACTGACGAAAGCTAGTGGATACTAGCTGAAACGTCTGACGTTTTCAAAATCATATCCAGTTGCTTGAGTAACTGTTTTTTGGCATATGATAGGTATGCATGTAACATAAACACCACGAGATCATGCTCGTCTACAAAGCCATTAACAACAAACTTCCACACTACATGCGCCAGATGTTTGCTTACTGTAGCGAGCAAAGCACAAGGTCAACTAGACAAAGCACAAGCAATAAACTAGTTGTTCCTAAACCTCATCTAGAGAGCTTTAGAAGATCCCTAGCCTACCGCGGACCCACTGCCCGGAACAGTCTTCCAGTGGACATACGCACGGCCCCAACCCTCGCTTCCTTTAAGAGACTCTTAAAGAGGTAGAAACCAGGAATGAAAAACGGACGGACAAGAACTACTTACCTGCTTTGACGTCTATGTATTTACTTAATTATGTATGTATATAAGCTGTACCACGTTATGATGAATATTTGTTTAGATTTATTAAGACTCAGAATCATGTATCCAAGTCTGATGTATGCATTATGTGTTTTGTAGTAATTTGTTGACCCTTGAACCTCTCCCCTGCATGATGACCACAATGAAAAGCGGCCTGTTGGCCGAATTGTGTATTTTCATCAATAAATAAAGGCGCAAACAAACATATGTAATCTATAGCAGATAGAACAGGGGAGATACGGGGTGTTCGAATCCTGCGAAAATTTATCGATTTGTTTCAATTCTGGTATAATGTTATATTTAGTAATACAACTTACTTCTTCTCAAAACTTTTAGATGCCTGTAATGAAACATGCAGTGGCCATGGAGAGTGTGTTCGTACAAACGGAGAATGGGGATGCTCATGCGACAGAGGATTCATAGGAACATACTGCGGAACAGGTTTGTCAATGTACAGTTCTCGTACCAAAAACATAATCAACTGAAAGTTGCAGGTTTTGGTGCTTTTTTTTGCAAATTATTATAATATTTCTTTAGAATTCCACTATATTCTTACTTAGTTCTATAGGGCACCTGTCTCATCTTGAGTTTGTGTTTACTAAGTTTTTCATGCTTTGTAAAAAAGCAATCGTGTCTTCAAAATGTGGTCATAAACTGAATCCAAAGGTTTTACTTGTATTCTTAGCATAGTACTAAAGTTTGCGGTAAAATTAAATGAAAGTTGATCAGTTTGGTAACTTACATTGTAATGGTAGCATGTTGTTATAATAGCTAACAGCCCTGTATTTGTGAAACTAGATTTTAACAGTTTTTCTATCATACAGTTTCTGAGACAAACTGCGCTGACAATCTTGATGATGATGGTGGTGAGTATACAGTGATTTGATTTGATTTCATTTGATTTATTAGACTGTATAAACAGATATATACAGTCAGGACTGTTTTCATGTAAAAGAAAATATTTTCACGTAAGAAACCATTTATCATAGTCTAAAGCGAATATAGCAAAAATCATTTAACAACATAGGCGAGGACAAGGCAGGCAAAGCAATGCGTAAAGGTTGACGTTCGTTGATGGAAAACTGGTGTTCGGAGTGGAAAGCATTCAGTACCAAGGCTAGTACCAGTGTAACAATTTTATCATATTTCCAAGGCAAAGTAGTATCATTGCATTTTCAGAAATATCAACCACACTCGCCTTTGTCACTGAATAGTTAAAATACCCTGATGTAGATGACCCCTTATATATTCCTCATGCAAATATGTCAGAAGATTTTCACTATGTACAGTGGGACTGAATGTCCAAGCGATTCAAAGGTAAATCGCCTAAACTTCGTGAGGTGTTAACTATAGCGTTTGTAGTCTAGGAACCTAGCGTTGATTAACATTTTTGTCTCTTCAACATACGTTGCCTTACATGTGTTCTTGGTGTTCTAACCGTGGCAATACATGTACATGTAGGTTGTAAATACAGGTTGAAAAATGTAATGCTTGTTCCTACAGACTTGCTGGTTGATTGTGATGATCCGGACTGTTGTAATGACACGTCGTGCGTGGACGATCCTGCGTGCTTATCTGCACCACCACTTGAACAACTAGCAGCTGCTGATACCAACATTACACAAGCAGCAGGGAGAAGCTTTTATGATCAGGTTAAAAAATGATACTATTTATCATAGATAATAACGAATAAGATTAAAGTTCTTTTAGCTCTTCTGTTATTAAGTACATTAGCTTTCTGTTTAAGTCAGTTTTTGGAAAGCACTCTATACCAAACATAGTGATTCAACAGAAACCTATTAAATCGATTTCTAACATTTTTTTAAATTTTATTTTCGGTTCATGGCAAGTCTTCAACCCCTACTAACAGTGTGCAAAGTTACCAACAAATATTTTTTTTTTTCATCTTTGACAGGTTAAGTTCCTGTTCCAAAATGGAAGTGTACAGGAAGATGTTAGTCCGGACGCAATTGACAATGAGTAAGGAATCCGATGTTTCTGCACTACACTTGGAATACTACTTATTTTTAATTTACAAATGCCACATTTGAGACCTTAACTGCATTAACCTACTAGTTTGATAAGCTGCAAAAACAAAACACCTAAAGACATCTGTTTGAGAATCCATACTTTTACTAAATATTTAAACAAATGAAAACATAATGTCAAATCTAAGAACTATTAACCCTCAAACACCAGAACGGGGTCCATTTGGACCCCAGGCGTATATTCTTAAATGCTATTTGAATTTTTTTTCGTTCGAAAAAAAATTCCTCTCGTGACTTTGTCGATAAACCTCTTCTACAAGTTCTCCTAAATTTTTTGAAGATCGGCACGAATTTGTAAAAATAACAACGGAAGCCATATGTAAGACCGTCTGGGGTCCAAACGGACCCCAGCCATGTATTTGCACTTTCCTACACACAAAATTGTTCGGATGTCCTCAATATGTCTTCAAGCAAGCATAATTGCTTTGATATTATGCAGTTTACCAAGTAACCTCAACGTCAGAAATTATTTCATCGGGTTTTTAGAGGTTTGGCAATTTGACAATCATATGGGGTCAAAGGTCAACCCCATGTCCATGCCTGCAGGCCTCACCCCATTTTGCATAAATTATTATAATGAGCTGGAATTTTTTAAACACTTAATCATGCCAAAATATACCTCTTACTATGTGTAACCAATATATATGCAAAGATCAATGAAAGAATGCAAAAAGGAATATAAATTTGAAAGAAACCAAAAGGGGTCCATTTGGACCCCGTTCGGGCATTAACGTCACAAAAAAAGTTCGGGTGTTTGAGGGTAAAAATAGACATATAACAAATTGTACTAAACAGATCATTTCCCAAGAAGAATGATACGGGCTTTTGAACAAAAGTTCAGCAGGTACAAAACACTAACTGTTTGAATCTAAAAAAAAACAAGGAAAATCGTAGATTTTGTACCTCCGGGTATTGTAATGTATGTTGCAGAATGTTGGGTGCATGTTGGGACTGTTCTTTTAATTAGTGAATGGTGTCTGGGTGTGTGTGTGTTCACGCGAATACCACGTGACACAACTATGCAAGAGGAAGCTACGCAACTTGACACCTGTGCGAACAAGAACAATATGATTATGAACGGGGATAAGTCCTATGAGTTGAGACTGTGCTTTTCAAAAAATCCACCTGTTCCACCTCCCCTCACACTTGGAGGCAAAGAAGTCCCGGTTGTTGAATGTGCCACGTATCTGGGCTTCAAACGTCACCGCAGCCTTAGGTGGGACAGCCAAATCTTACACATGGCAAAGAAAGGCTCAACCCGTCTTCACTTTCTCCGCATGCTCAAGAAGGGCGGGATGCCACCAGAGGACCTGGAAACTGTGTATACGACTCTGATACGACCTGTGTTAGAGTATGCAAATGTCGTGTACGTGGGCTGTAACACAAAACAGAACAACACTCTTGAGGCTGTACAGAGAAGGGCGGCGAGAATCCTACGGCAACAGTACTCAAACAACCCCCTTCTCCACCCTCCAGGACAGACGGGAAACTGCAGCAAAAACTCTGCTCAAGCAAATGCGGCATGTCAGCCACACTTTGCATTCTTTGATGCCCTGCGACAGACACCAGAGCACACGGCGGTCCCTGAGAAATGGAAACCACATCTCCGTTCCGAAGTTCAGAACTGAAAGACTGAGGAAACCTTTTCTGTTTCAGGCAATAAGCCTCAGCAATCAAGATTTGTAAATAGTCCGCCTCTGTTTTAATGGACCTGAGCTACAAAATTTTAAATCTATTTAATTTTAATCGTCAATGTTGTGCTTTTTAATGTGTATCTCTTTTCAAGCTATTTTAACATGTAATCACTTGTGCAATTCA